GCCGCCGCGGGGCCGCGCGGCGCTCGCCTGCCGCTGCGCCTTCACTTCCCCAGACGCTCACACGCTTTTACGGCTGCTAGTGCTCCCGAAGTGTTGAGGCGCCAGACCGCACCCCGCTGGTCGGCGTGCCGCGAGCCTGTCCCAAGGACAAACCAGACGCGCGCGGACCAGCTTGCTCGGCCAGAACAGGGGCCTCTGCCGGGGTGCCGAGGCCGCGCCTCAGCGGGCTCCCTTGCGGATGGGGAGCAGCAGCGTCTGAGACCCTGAACACGGTGGGAACGTCCCCCTCCATCTAGCTCTGCCCAAGCACTGGCCAGGCTTTCCAGGGGCCGTCCTCGGGCCCGGCCGTGCCCGCCAATGCCCTTCCCAGGGCCTGGAAACTGACTCCTCCCCAATCGCCGCTCAGCAGCAGAGACGACCCGCAGCAGACAGCAGGGGAGGATTGCTCTGCATAGCTGCTGCTTCTGATCTCCCCAAAAGGACCCTAAACAGCTGGCACGCAGAGCTTTGAGTCGTAAAGTAAAGAAAACGCTCATAAACACACAAGGCTACCAACCTGGAAAGAGAGATAATCACCTTCGAGGTGGTAAAGATCAACGGTGAGAAACAGAACACAGCGACTGAGATAACAGTCAGGTTTTTGTTTACTGATTTTCAAAGAGTGAGATTGATTCAACCAGACAGGACTCTCCAGTGAGCAGGCTGGAGCAGGAAGGCCCCCGCGCGGCCTCCGGACAGAGGACCTGTCCTCGGAGAACCAAGGCACCGGCCAGCGATGGGTCAGGCCACCGCCCTTGCCGGAGGTCCCTCCGAAATGGGGGCCGGCCTGCCAGGGGACAGGGCCTGCTGACCTGCTCCAGCACAAGCAGCCGAAAGGCGGGAGGGGCGGAGCAGCTGGCTGCAGGCTGCGCCAAGGGAGGGTGCTCACGGGGGAGGCCCAGCGCACCTGGTGGCCGCTCCCCAAAGGGCACCTAATTTACTGAGACATACATGCACACAGAGAGGACTCCCCAGGCAGAGTGGGGAGCAGAGAGAGCAGATGGACGAAGCGCTCTGCTCAGGGGGCAGCGGGAGGCAGGAGCGGGCGCCCTACCCTCTCGGTGCGGCCCCCACCCGCAGCGCCCCGTGAGGGCCCAGTGGCTGCCGCTTTCTGCGGGGACCCCTCTGCCTGCGCCTCTCAGGGCCGCCCGAAGGACCGGCGCGCTGCTCACGCGGGCACTGCTTGGACACAGAGAACCTTCCTCCGGTCCCTGCTTCTCGCGAAGGGAAGGAGCTGAGGGACGGTCTCTGCAGACACTTACGCGTCCACCCGGAAGGTTCCACTCCAGAACGCCCGGCACTGACCAGGCTCTAGGACAGACACTGTGGTGGCCGAGGCCCACCTGGAGAGAGCCCACTGGCGCGGAGTCCTCGAGCCCGACAGCAAAGCGCCCCACTGTTTGCAGGGAGGCGCCGGGCACGAGGGAGGAGCAGGAGGGCAGGCGGGATCATGACGGCCTTGCACGCGGGGCCCAGTCGCTCTTCAGAGTCCCACAAACGCGCTCAGAGATCGCCCGGCTCGGCGGGGGCGGCGGGGCTGCAGGCGCAAAGGCGCCCGACCGGCCCCTGGCCCGATGGAGGCCGGCCCCAGCAGCAGCCCGGGTCAGGCCTCACCCTCAGGGCAGCCTGCGGAGGGCTGGGAGACGCCCGCTCCTACCCGGCCACACAGCGGCAGCGGGACAGAGACCCTGCGAGGCGGCAAAGGGCCAGAAGGGCCGTGCCTGCCGCGCAGGCCTGCTGGGGGGCGCGGCCGGCCCGCCCGCCCCATGCTGCCCCAGGGAGACAGTGGCCTGCTGGGAGAAGGGAGGGAAGAAAGAGGAAGCCCCAAAGGGGCCAGCATGCTCCGGGAAGGTCACGGAGGAGCGCAGCCGCCACGGGCTTGGCGGCCTGCACCCGCAGCTGCCTGGGAACCCCCAGGGCTCTGCTCTTCAAAGTGGGGGGTTGTTTAGAACGCCCCAACACCGCCCTCAACAGCAACGCTGGCAGGTGCACTAAGGACACACCTGTATTCCAACCCCAGACACAGCCAAGTGTCTGTAATGCAGTTCTTGGTTTTTATTGGAAAAAAAGACACACCAGGGACCGTCACCCCAGAAGTGGCCCTACATGAGGGAGCCCCAGGCCGCCACTGGAGACTGAGGCGGCAGTCCCTCGGGTCAGATACACCCCGTGTGCGTCCCGCTGCCAGAGGACGCTCTTTGAGCAGCACTGGCGCAGCGCCCCCACTCGGCGGGCGTGGCAGTCTGACCCAGGCCCCGGCGAGGACAGCGTCCCCGGGGCCAGGGCCGCCTCCTGGGGGGGCCGCGACCCTGCCGTCCACTCCCTGAGGCCCCTGGGCCTCCGCCGCGCCGCAGCTGCCTCTAACTGGCCGGAAGTCCTGTCCACCCCAGAAGCGGGCGCGCGCCACGTCCGCTGGCGAACACGTGCCACAGCACTCGGCGTGGCTCACCAGGCCTGAAATCCGCCGCTCCGAAAGCACCCCAGTTTCCGGCGGGGGAAGGTGTACCTTAGAGCCATCCCGTGGAACACGGTGTAATTTCAAACTCAGAAGCCCGCACAGGGCTAACAAGTCCGGCAGGAAGGCAGCCAGCTGAGGGCGCAGGCGGCCGTGTCTGCCGGCTTTAGTCCGACGCGAACGGCCATGTGCGGCCACTGAGGTCTCCCGGAGAGGCCCCTCACTGCTCCCGGGCAGGCGCGGCGCCCCAGAGGCCCCTCCAGTCGCAGCACCTCCTCCTGGTGACGGCTCCCCGGCCCCGACACTGCCCCCCACCTGCCCTCAGCCCAATGACCCTGCAGCCCCGGTGCCCAGATGGCGCCATTGGGACCTCATCGGGAGCGGCCTCATCAGTACCACCCCATCACCCTCCCCGAGCCCGCCCTGGCTCCCCGGCACCACACAGAGCCAGTGGCTGCTTCCGATGGGCCAGCCATCCCCCAGCACCCTGGCCTTCCCCGAGGGTGGTCCTGCCTGGCCCCCACCCCTGCTCACCTTGCCCTACCTGGCTCAAGAGTCACCTTTCCTGCTGGACTTCTGCCCGTCCCCACACAAGCCAACGCTCTCCCATCGTGGGGAGCCAGGCTTCTGCTTGGCCTCCAGACGCCACCCCCTTCTCGGGGGAGGCCCCATCTGCTGGACTGGCACCTGCCGCTCTGCCCGGCAACGGACCTGGGACAGCCTGCATCTTGTGACTATCTGGCCTCCGTCACCACTGGTCCCAGCATCAGGAAAGGGGTGAGCTCACATCACACACACCTGTACTCAGGTGTACCTGGGCCCAGAGAAGGCGGCTGACAAAATTCAAGTGTGGTCACACACCTTTCTCAATACCACCAAGAAATACTGGAACCCTCCAGAAAGTAAGAAGAGAAAAGAGGCCCTCACTCACACCAGGAAGCTTAAGTCACTCCGTAAGAGCTCACGGGGCACCGGTGCCAGAGGCCCGAGCCCCATGCCGGCGCACCAGCCCCACCGGCTTCACAAGCATGCGGGGGACTGGCCACAAAGGCCAGCGCCTCCTTTCCGGCAGCCCTGGGCCCATGGCTCTCGCCGCTGCAAAGGGGACGGGGTGTCCTCCAGGAGGCAGCGGTGTCCGCTCCCCACACCCCCGCCCAGCATCCCGAGCTCTCTGGGCAGGGCGCAGGTGTCGGGCACAGCACAGAGCCGGCTCTCAGCAAGCCCCTGCGGGTCTCATGCCCTGCCCGCACGTGCCCGGGGACGGCGGCACTCGGGAGGGGGCAGCTGCCGAGAGCGGCCGATGAGGCGGGGGAAGCGGTTGTGCTTATGGCGGAGGTGGCAGAGCAGGGTGGAGGGGCCGCGAGCGCCTGTGCCGGAGCCGGCAGGTGCCCAGCCCCTACCGAGTGAGGCGGCCCCGCACAGGACAGGCTGCGCCGGGCCCCGGTGCCGGGGAGAAGGCGGACAGCAGCCAGGGTCTGCACCTGGCACGGGGAGAGGGCCGGGAGCCACTTTCCGGGGTCTGAGCCTACCCCAGAGGCATGCCACTCCCGGGGAGCCCCGCGCGAGGGTGGGAAAGGGGGGGAGAGGGTCTAGATGCAAAGAGCAGAGGGAGGGCCGCGAGGCCCGGGTCTCCCCGACTGCGTGCTCGGACTCTGCGGGCCGACGTACTCGGGCGACAGCGGCCGCCACTGGCCCTACGCACTGTCCTGGGGGCACTGGCCAGGAAAGGCAGGCGGGACCAGGAGGCTTTGCTTGTCCTGCTGGACCTGGCAGGAACAGGCCGCCCCAGCAACAAAAGCTCACAGACAGAAAAGAGGCCCAGCCGTAGAGGGAGCCTGAGGGCAGTTCCCAGTAGCTCGCCTTGTCCCAGACAGAGGGGAAGGCCCTCGGCAGACCAGAGGGCTCACTCCGCCCCCGCTGGTCCTGCCTAGCCCTCTTCCAGCAGCCTGGATGCTGTCAAATGCCCCGCACGAGGCAACAGCTCCATTCTGCCCACAGTGCCAAGCTCAGGCCAGATGTCAGCTGACCCGGAAGAAGCCGGCGACACACAGGAACCCTGCGCAGCTCGGCAGCGTCTACTTCCAGCGAAAAGACTCGCCCAGCCAGCTTTTCCTGGTCGCAACGCCAGGCTTTGTCCTGAGCCCACCCAGTCGCCGCTGACGCCTGCACAGGGCGGGCCCTGGCAACACGGCTGGGCCGCGGGGTGCTCCTGGCCTCCCTGGCCAGGCTCTCACCTGCATGCACCTCCAAGTCTGACCACGCGCACCCCTTCACCTATGTCTGGAATGAAAAGATTGCCTTTTTAAAAATAATATGTTTATTTTACATCGTTTTGTGCCTTTTCCCATCTCAGGTGTCATCCCCGTGGGCTTCCCATCACCAAATCCCCCGTGTGCCGTCACCGTAGTCCCGTGTACTCCCCCTCCCCCATTTTTGAGCACCTTCCCCACCCCACCCCGTAAGATGTCTCTGGCCTATAGCTGTTCGTTATTATTATTACTTTCTCCCCTTTATGCTCCTGCTATGAGTGAAACCACTTCCTGGCTTATTTCACTTGCATGATCCCTCCCAGCTCCATCCATGTTGCTGCAAAAGGCATGTGCTGATCTTTTTTATCGCTGTGTAATATTCCATTGCGTATATGGACCCCATTGAAAAGATTGCATTTTAAGGCCCAAAGGAGACACCTTCCTACTGGTACCTCGGCTAGTTAGGTTGAGAGGCCCCCAGGACAGACCCTGTCGGTGGTGGGAACAAAGACCAGGGACCATCATGACAGAGGCACGATGTGGCCCGTGGAGGACATGGGTCTCTGGTTTGCACAGCCTGTGAGCGGGGCGCCGTGGCAGCTTTCCCGAGGGCAGGAGTGTGAGAAACACCCCTGCTGGCTCCCTGCACCCTCTGGGCTGGGGAGAGGTGGGAAGGGGCTCATGGAGCCCTGGGAGACAGGGGCCCTGGGCACATGCGGCCACTCCCCAGCCCCTAGGCCAGCTCCCGCCAGGCTCAGGAGGCAAGGGCTGCCCCTGCCCCAGGGCACACTGTGGGGTGCAGGTCATCACTGTGGGCTCAACAAAAGTAAGGGGGGTAGGGGGTTGGGGCGGGGAAGAGGACACAGCCCTGAGGCCAGAGCGACTCACCATGTTTGGCACGTTGGTGACTGGAGCATTCTTGATGTCTGTAGGGAAGGGAGGCAAACTATTGACCATGTTCTGTTTGCTGGGTAACTGGGGGTTCACGCCAGGGGCTCCCATTTGCTGCCCTCCAGTTTGACTAAAGGGTTGTCCAAATGGGCTTGTATTGCCAGCCATTCCCATCTGAAACAGAAAGAGGCAACATCAGTTGTCAGACGCGCCCACAGGTAACCGGCGGGCCGCGGGAGCGCTCGCTCTGACCCAGCCACGCAGGCGTCATTTCCCGTGAAAACTCCTTTCAGGGATAAAAGGTTTATTCCCGGGTCCCAGTGAGAACTGCGGGCGGAGCACGGCTCAACGTGAGGGGGCTGCTGGGACAGCCCCCCACGCCGGTGCCCCTGCCCGCCGCCCCGCCCCACACAGCAGCAGCCACACTCGTAAGACAGGCGCCACCCAGGCCCCGCGCGCCGCCTTTCTGCCAGCAGCTCCTCGCGGGCGGGCCGGGAGGCGATGAGACGCCAACGGAGCCGCAGCAGGGAGCCCTCGGCGCCTGCCGGGAGCCTCCCAGAGGGGGAGGCGCCTCCCGGCTCCCGGGCCCTGGTGCAGGCCGCGCCCCGGAGCCTCCTCGCCCTCCTCCCTTTGGAAAGTAAACATACGCTAGCTGCCATTTCTGCACTTACTTGCTCTCCTGGCGTAAAGGACACACTTAAATTCAACTGAAACGCAAATCCAACCGGAGTAACTAACAGCAGCAAGTCTCGCTCACGAGGCCCCACGGGAGCCGGCCCGCCGGGGGCAGCAGCTCGCGCGCACGGGGCCCTGCCGGTCCTGGGGCTGGGAGGCTCGCAGCGCCGGAGCAGAGCCTGCTGCGCAGCACAGGGCCTGGCCCTGACCCGGAGGCCTGCGGTGTGGGGGAGCAGTCGCATCCTCCGGGCCCTGAATTCCATCTTACTTAAGACTTATTTATCACATGAGAAGTGGGGTTCGGGCCAGAGGTGCAGGGGGTGAGAGGCCGCCCCAGAGACAGAGCGGGGAGCAGGACGGGGGAATCCACTGAAGACCCCTGAGGGGGCAGTGGGCACAGGCGGGGTCTGCCGCGCCTGGGGTCCCTCCCTGGCCGGGGATCGAACACCTGCTGCAGTGGCTGCCAATAGCCACAGTGCGGCACTGTAACCCCTTACGCCACCAAGGAGGGCCCCGATACCCACCAGCCAGGAGCCACTCTCAGCGCCGCCCTCACGCCCGCCGGGAGCAGCGCTGGGCCAGGGGCCTCCGCGTCACGCACCGGCACCCTCCCGTGTCAACGGGACAAGCCAAACACCTGGCCCAGAGCAGACGAGGCCGGGTGACAGCGGAGAGGTCCCTGTCCTTCTGCTCACACACGCCAAGGCAGGGACCCCTCTGCGCACAGAGGCAAGTAAATACCAGAGTCTGTGCACCCCAAACTCACTTGTTTAGAAAAGTCTGTTTCTAAATCTCTGCAAAAATTCTGACAATACCCAGCTGGGCAGTGCCTGCTAGTGAGCCTCCTGGCCACAGGCCTTTAACCGGCTGAAAGGTTTGGGCCTGTGGAGTCACCAGGTTCGCGCCACCTTGTCCCGACCCACCTCCGCATGAAGGAAGCCGCCCCAACACGGCAGTGGCCCTCTTGGGCAAGAGCCCAACCAGAGGTCACAGGTGGCAGGTGAACACCTGCCCACTCACAGACGACTACACATTTCAGAAACAGGACAAATTCCCACCCTCAGCCTACCTGGCTGTGGCACCAAGCACATCTCCCAGGGTGGGCATGACGTGGGCCTGGGTCCCCGCGTGAGGCCGGGCCCCACGGCCAGGGCTCCGGCAGGCTGCTGCTGTCCACGCCAACTGGGTGCCGACTCCCGCCCTGCCTGTCTCTAGCAGGGACTTCGAGCCAGAAGTCCACTTGGCAGCCAGAGCCTGCAGAAAGCTACTTGCTTCTAGGGAGTTCCTAGATCTCTAAATTTCTGCCCTACACATATTCTCCTCTGATCACACAGACACCGTGGGACCCAAGTCCAGGCTAACGCTCACGCCAGCCTACTTCTCCTAACTTCCCACAAGTTACTCAACGGCGATTCCTGCGCAGCTTTATTTCAGAGTCTATCAAGACCTGGTGTAAGGCCGCTGGAGGAACCGCCACAGAGCCTTTTTGATGCACTCTAGGGAGAGCAGCAGGAACAGGCGACCCTGGAGCCGCCGGTGAATCTACTGGGCTCACAGAGCTGGCCGCTGGGGCCTGACGTTCTGGGCCACCCCGGCAACCCTGCGCGCTGAAACGTCCTTGCACGCTGCTCTTCCAGAGCCCTCTAAGCATTCTCGCTCAAGCTCAAAAAACAAGTGGCCGAGGCCCTCCCTGGTGGCGCAGCGGGTTGAAGCACAGCACTGAGAATTTAAAGCCACTTCCGCATGAGTTCGATTCCCGCCTGCCCCGGAGGTGACCCCAGGGCGCGGCAGACCTCTCCTGACCCGCCCGCTGCTCCCCTCAGCAGTGTACTTCGTTGATCTGCCTGTTCTGTTCCCCGCTCTGTCTTTGGTGAAGCCTCTCGCTGCCCCTGAGCCTCTGGCCTGTACCCCAGCTCTGTATGCACAAATAAAATAAAATATTTAAAAAAAAAAAAAAAAAAAAAAAAACAAGTAGCCGAAATGAGAGGCCCATTCTCCCACAGTGAGCTCCAGACCGAGACCCCGCGGCCCGCGCTGCCTGCGGGGAGCCGGCACAGGCCTCCTGCTGAGCACAGACCCTCTGCTGTCTCCCGCCCGCCGGCAAGGCTGGGCCGGCCTCAGCAAGCCTGCAGGCGCGAGAGGCCAGACACACCTCTCTGCGGGGCTGGACACGAGCGAGCACGTCGGCCCCCTCAATCGCCACCGCCGGGCCCTGGCTGCCTGGCCGGCGGCGGGTGACAGCCAACGCAGCGAGGGAGACCGGCACTGCAGACACACCGATGCCAAGGTGCCACGTGATCGCCGGACAAGTCTCCCTGGCCCGTCCTGGCCACCACGCCGGGGCAGGACCCTTGTCTCCTGGAGCAGCATCTCCCCTGCGCCCAAGGCCCCACCGCATGGTCGGCTCCTGGTGAGTGCTGGGGACGAGACCCCAAGAGCTCACGGGCCCAGGCAGACTCTGAGGACCGAGGCCACTGAAGAACCGCTGGCCATCCCTGTGGGCACAGCCGGCTGGCGGACAGGCACCCATCGCCCGCTGAAAGGCCACGCGCCGGGCCTGGGGGCTCTACAGGACCAGGCTCGGGGCGTCTGGCGAAAGGCACAGCGGCCCCTCCGCGTAGCAGCCTGTGCTTGGAGCGTGGCCCTGCTGCCAACCGCACCTGGGGCCCACTGCTTGGCCCCCGGGAGCCATGACAGGACGACTACCAGCGACGCCGGGGAGACGGCGCTGGGCTCCCAAGAGAAGGACCCCAGCGCCGCCCGGGCCCCAAACTAGCCCAGCGAGCACCTGCATCTGCCTCGTCCAACCAGGCAGCAAACTGGGGGCCACAGACTGCGGGGGCGGGGTCCGCCCCAGGGGCCAGCGGCCCCTGCGACAGCAGCTGGCCCCGAGTCCCTCTTGTTCCTCTGGAGCGAGCCTTCACTGCTCCGTGACCGCAGGCTGCAGCCCCCCACCATCAGCCCAGCCCAGGCAGGAGGCAGGTCGGGGGCTGCACACCGCACTGTGTGGGGTGAGCCCTCGGAGAGAACCACCCCTCTCACGCTCTCGAAGGGGGTCTGAGAGGTCCCTGAAGTTTAGGAACGTCTGCCTAGGCGGGGGACCCTCCTCAGCCGCCACCCGGGTCTCCTCAGACCCTCGCACCTGCCGCGCCCAGGCCTGCCCCAGGCGCCAGCCACACGAGCACACCGCCACCCCCACGCGAGCTCTCGAGAGGCAGACTCGGCACCCGGGCGGGCTCCATGCCGCCACCTCCCGTGGCCAGGCATTCGGAAGCACTTCGAGGGGCCACAAAGGCCGAGTCTGATGTGGTTTCGAGGGGCCGCGCCAGCACGCCGCTTCACAGCGAGCTCTCCGGCGGGTTTCCTCACACCTCGACAGGTGTTTAAACCACAGCACGCAGCGGTGCCGCCCGAGGAAGTGGGCGGGGCTGGCAGGGGCGGGGCTGGCAGAGCCGGGTCAGCGCGGAGGGGCTGCACCACCCGCGGATCTGCGAGGCGGGGGCAGCGGGAAGGCGCGGGCGCGGGGCAGCCTGGCCGCAGAGCAGCAAGAACCAGGGGGGCCCGCGCCCTCCTGCCGAGCAGGACCGGCCCCTGCGGCAAGGGAGCAACAGCCCAGAGGTGGGCCCGTCGCCAGACCAGCGTCGCGGGCAGCCCAGCACCTGCTCTGGAGAAGTGAAGCCTGCTCTGCCGGACCACGCCACAAGGCGACCACTCGGAGGCCGTAAGCCGGGACGGGGTGTGAGCACCCCCATCTGCTGCCGGCGTGAGCCCGGTGTCTGACTGGCACCTCTCTCCGGCTCAGTGCCACTAAAGTGGAGAAGGCAGCAGCACCCCGCTTTGGGTTGTGGGAGGCTGACCAAAGTCACACGCAAGAAGTCCCCGGGCGAGCGACACAGCCACGCTCCAGGTCTGACCCAGCCTGTCGTGACCTGGCGTGCGGGAGCTGCGCCCGCCTGGCGTGACTCGGGTCAGTGACAGCAGTGGGCACTGCCCGAGACTATGGGGCTGCGCGGAGCCAGCTGGAACTGCTGGCACTGGCTGCGAGGTAGTTTCAGAGAAACGTGAAATCAACGTGACAAGTCTTACGTAATTACTACTTGCACGACACCCCTTTTTTTTTTAAAGATTTGTTGATGCATACAGAACTGGGGTACAGACCAGAGGTGCAGGGCAGTGAGAGGATTCCCCAGGGACAGAGTGGGGAGCAGAACAGGCAGATCGACAAAGTACACTGCTGAGGGGAGCAGCGGGCGGGTCAGGAGAGGTCTGCCGTGCCCTGTGGGTCACCTCCGGGGCAGGCGGGGGTCGAACTTGTGCTGAAGTGGCTCTAGCTTCTTGGTGCTGCACTTTAACCCGCTGCGCCCTGCACGATATACTTTCAACAGAAATTAATTTTAAAATCGTCCTAGCAAATCACAGACACCTTCAGTTTTCACCTGAGATTGCGTGCCAGCTTTAAAACAATACTCAGAATGTCCACCTCAAATTTAAAACGGACA